ACAGACAGCATCGTCAGAAGGAAAGTTGATGAAATAAATTAAAAATTTTGTATTGTTCGATACATATGCGTACCGAACCGAAAGCACTGTATCGAACGGTTCAATATCGATACGAGTATCGTTGCACCCCTAATATATATATATATGTTTATATATATATACATATTAGTGGTGCAACGGATCACAGTTGATCCAAAATAAGAACCGATCCCACTCCACGGTTCGGTACGCACATGATCCGAAGATTCGAAAAAGGAAAAAAAAGTATGTGTATGGTGCGCGTGGTCAGTCTGTCAAGCAGTAGTTATGGCCAGCGCTAGCGGTCCAAGTGGCGGAGCAGAGGAGTTTGCGGCATTTAAGCAGCCTTTTGCTGCCCAATCCGACCGGGCTAAAGCTATGACAAAAGCTATTCGGGGTGTGCAAAACAAGGGGTTTAAACTGTGATGAACGTGCTCGAGCCACGCTATGATATCTCATTGCGCGTCCACTTCAGTGTGACAAGATCGTTCCAAGCATGTATGAGCAGGAGAAGTTTAAAGTTATGGCTGAACTGTCCCAGGCATCTTCTGTTGCTCTAACTACAAATGGGTGGACCTCCAGGGCAACGGATAGTCACGTGACCGTGACCGCTCGTTATATCACAGCGGAGTGGTAGATACAAAACCCTGCACTGCCCTATAGATTACATTAGATTCAATGAAACTTTATTTATCCCTTGGATGGGTTCCTCCCGGAAATTCAGTTTCCAGTTGCACAGCACCGACAGAAGTTGCAGAATGTGAGCAGAAATATACCATATATACACATATATAAATACAGAGTATACAAAAGGGATAAATAGAATAAATACGAATAAGAATACAAGGGAACGGCACATTTCAAGTATTTTGAGTCTATTACACCGTTGGATATTAGCAAAAACTATTGCACAGTGAAAAGGCACTACAGCTTACTTGTTCCCCCCTCCTTTGTCCCCTCCAGCGAGGAGTTAAACAGTTTAATGGCGTGTAGGACAAAGGACTTTTTAAGCCTGCTGGTCCTTGACTTTGGGAGAAGCAACCTGTCACTGAACACAGTCCTCTGGTTGTTTATGGCATTGTGCAGAGGATGCAGAGGATGCCCAGCATGGTCTATAACGTCCATAATGTCCATATTGCACCTTAATTTGTTTTTATATAAGTGCGTGGAATGAGTCTTCAGTTGAATGTTTTTAATAGGCAAAAAATACTTAAATAAGTAAACGGCGAGTCGAATTTTTGTCTTTTTTTTCTATTTTTGTTGATCCGAAAATTGATCTGATCTGTGACTTAAAACCGTGATCCGATCCGAACCGTGAGACTTTTGATCCGTTGCACCACTAATACATATGGGTGGACTTGTGACAAGAAATAACTCACCAGATACATCACATCTATGGAGATTGCTGCTTCCCTCACTATAGTGTACCGTATAGATATATCCTCTTCTGCATCACAGGAAAGGATTTTATCCTTCATCTTCACCTCCAGCGAGCTGAATGTTTTTGCATCTTGTACTTGAGGTTGGGACTTAGACAGTATGTGAAATCCACTATCATAAAAACCAGTTTTATATATTGGATAATTAAGGGTTGGTGTCAGGGTTGCCTGAATTGCCTGAAAGAAGCATAAAATAAGTTGATGAAGAAGAAAAAAATGGAAGGCTTTAGACGCAAGCTAATGTAAAATAAACTTACCAGTTACAGTTACAGTTTCAGTGTAATTATCTACTTACATGGAGTTTAATATCCTCATCGAAGTTATCTGTGCTGAATGAAAACTCAGCGACACCGTTGCTGTCAGTTGTTAGATTTTTTAGCAAGTGTGCCGACCCATGTTCTCCCACAAACAGATACACAGGTGCTTTGGAAATGGGTGTATCATTGTAGTATACTGCTTTAACCTGTTTAAACCACAATGTTTCATTACTACAACCCACATTATTTACACTAAATTCTAAATTCTGTAGCACCATGACACAACTAGAGTAAAGAAAAACATTTTGAACTTACTTTTCCTTCCGCATTTGATTCTGGTTCCCAAATCCTGGGGATATCAACAAAAGACACTTTTCCAAGGATATAGGAAATTCTTATTCTCTTTTCTTGTTCCTGTGAAATGCCTGAATATAAAACTTAAATGTTAGACAATAAGGTATAATTTAAAAAAATGTAACAATTAAACAAAATGAAAAATAACAATTGCCAGACTTGCCTGTTCCCTCCTCTTCTATTTTGGCACTGACATTCAGCTCATCTCGAAGGAATTTATTGGGAATTTCTTTGAAGGTTGACATCTTGAAGGTAACAACTGTACAGCCTGTCTTGTCTGCCTAGAAAGGCCAACACAATAAAACATAAATCATACAGTGAAAACTTACATCAAACTTTAAGCTGGCTGCAACACTTTGAATTTTGTTACAATCACTTCAGTCAGTCAAAACTCTACCAATGTTACTCATCAAACAAAGGCTCAAACTCATTATTTAATCGGTTAGCTCATTAAGAGCTGACACACTGGCTCAAGCATCAGCCAAAGAATATATTCATAATAGCAGACAAAACAAAATGGAGTCAGAGGAATACCTATAATTGTCATGGTCTGTGACCCAGTGTTTGCATTTTCTGGTTTAATTTATATTCTTTTATGTTCTTTGATTTAGTGTTTCTGTTCCCTCACCTCTGTGTCCATGTTCCATGTATAGTCTGTCATGTCTCCATGTTTATTCACCTGTTTTCCGCTTTATCTACAGCGGGTATAAAGCTGCCTCTTTCAGTTAACCTTTTTGTTCAAGTCCTGGTCCTACTCCTACCTGCCACACAACCATCCTTGACAAAAATTCAGCATTTATAAATAATGAACACAAACCAGTGGATACGACTGAATCTATAGCCGGCTGTTTTATAATACTGAATTTTCAAAAACGCCTAAAAAAGAGGGTCTTAAAAACCATACATTTGTTATGCTTATAACAGATTTGACTTGAAATTCTCAAAATTGTGACTTTTTTTTAACTAAAAATGTAACTCAAAAGATCTTTCAGGAAAGGCAGAGGGCATCCAATGCTATTCTGGGTGGTGGTGTTGTCTCATGAGAGCTTTACTCTTAGCTACTGTACAGCTGACAAACCATAAACAGATGTAGCATCTCAACTGTGCTAAACTTGAACATCTCAACTTGCTTCATACTAGGCCACTAAAGTCTTACAGCTGAATCCACAGACTATTGATTCTGTCTTTTTATGGCTAGCTAGAGCTGCATGATTTAACTCCACAGAGGCAGTGAAAGACAAACACACATACACAGATACACATCCACCCCAGCCTCTGAGGTTTGGAAGAAGGGACCCCGGGTTGCGATCAGCCCAGAATCACCAGCTAAACCCCAGGTACATGAAACAGTGGTGTAGAAAGACCTACTTGCTCCCCTCCCTGCATGTCAGCATTAAAGGTGGCAAGCCCAAAATATGGGGCCCATCTGCACACAGAGCCCACACGCTCAACCAGTGATGAAGACTAAAATGAACAAGCCAAACTGGGCATAGTCTGAGATAAACTACTCTCAAAGGAACTAGGGGTGGGGTTAAAAAATCGATATGCCAATTCAAATCGATTTTAATTTGAATAATGCAAGATTAAATTCTGAATAAATTTTTAAATATAAATGTATTTTGCCAGAAACGCCAGATTCTGAACTTAAAGCTCACAAAACTATTTAAGCAACAGCCAAACAGCTAAAACAGCAGATGAGAGCAGGTAAGCTGATTCCGCAAAAAGATGTTAACACAAAGAAAACAACCTTTACTTGTCACATACACAATTATACAGGTTACAACATGTAGTGAAATGCTTGTGTCCGAGCTGTGGACAGGCTGCAGACGTAGCCGTACCATTCCAGGGCTTGGTTTTTAGTATGGTGGGGTCTAGCCAGGACCCCTACTGGATACCGGGTGGGAATCGAACTTGTGACTCCCGCTCCAAAGGTGTGTAATCTTACCACTGGACTAATCAGCTGCAGAACGTGACATGACAGCATGTACGAAGACATGCCAGGTGCTGAATGCTGACATTTCACAAATTCTGGAACTGCAAGTTTTGTCACTCTCCGTTCTCTACAGCACCTTTGGTCGCTGTTTCTTTCTTCTTCTTCTTTTTTTCAAAAAGAAAGCCTAATTTCTGCTGTTTAATACTGAAGAAATTAAACTTTTACAAATTGTGCAAGATTTGAAAAACACTTAGGTCTGTCTCTAATAAAAATCTCTGTAACTTTCCTCTGCTTCACTTCAGCAGCATCAGGTAATGTTCCTCTGTTGTTTCATTGGTTTTTCAGAGTTTTTATCTACTGCAAAATATTTTTAAAGGGGTTATCTGGTATAAAAAGCCAGGCAAGGACAATCTCCTTCATGTTTGTCTGTGTTTTATCCTCAGTTACTTTGACACAAAGGCATCTGCTGTGATGATTACATCTCTGATGAAATCTCACAAGTGTCAGCTTTTTTTTTATACCTAGATAGTTTACACAGAGTTTGTAATTGGAGAGAAATTAATTTGGTCAAATAATTTGGAATTAAATGTTTTTAATTTACAAGGTTTAGAGGGTTCTTTCAACAGAGCATGTCCAAGATATATTATCATTATTATAATATTTCTGACTGAGGCAAAATTCAATTGAATTGAATCGAATCGGGACCTTGTGAATCAGAATTGAATCAGTTTTTAGAAAGCAGTGATGATACCTAGCCCTAATAGGAACAGTACTTCACACAGAAGAGATTTTTTCTTAATGATGCTGCTGCATGATTGCTGATATACAGAAACCTTCTGCATGGGTATGTGGTCTGCTTTTATCTGCACATTGTTTCAGGAGAAATATGAGACTGGAACTACTGTACCCGTTTGGTCTCTGTGTGGCAGGGAGCCTGTTTCGAAGCGAGGATACCAGAGTGATCAAGAGGTCGGCACATCGTAGCTGTAACACTTCCTGGAACAGGCTGTCCAAATGTGTACCTATTAAAATTATTTCCAAAACAAAACTCAGGTTTTGTGAGACTCTAAATTGCCATTTCTCAACAAATGACTGCTACTTACTTTGCACATAATTTAATATCAACTTCTTCCTGTCCAATACTCACTTCTTCAGATACATTTACTGTTACGTCAAATTTGGGTAAAACTGGGGACAAAATATCAAAGTTAGCATCTGCATTGCATTAGGAATCTTAGAAACAGAATGTAAAAAGATTTTTTTAAAGACCTGACTTACCATACTTTTCCACCTTGAATCTGTGACCAAATTTATCTTTACCCACAGACACTATTATTTGGTACATTCCTTCAGGGGCCTCAGAGTTCAAGGAATATGAAAGCTGCAATATTTTATTATTGGATGCTTCATTTAACCACTGTCCAATCCTGTTTCTATTGGGATCCTGTTAAATACATTCAGAGAGGAGTGGGTGTTTATGACACATAAAGTGAACACATGAATACAGGGAGTGCAGAATTATTAGGCAAATGAGTATTTTGTCCACATCATCCTCTTCATGCATGTTGTCTTACTCCAAGCTGTATAGGCTCGAAAGCCTACTACCAATTAAGCATATTAGGTGATGTGCATCTCTGTAATGAGAAGGGCTGTGGTCTAATGACATCAACACCCTATATCAGGTGTGCATAATTATTAGGCAACTTCCTTTCCTTTGGCAAAATGGGTCAAAAGAAGGACTTGACAGGCTCAGAAAAGTCAAAAATAGTGAGATATCTTGCAGAGAGATGCAGCAGTCTCAAAATTGCAAAGCTTCTGAAGCGTGATCATCGAACAATCAAGCGTTTCATTCAAAATAGTCAACAGGGTCGCAAGAAGCGTGTGGAAAAACCAAGGCGCAAAATAACTGCCCATGAACTGAGAAAAGTCAAGCGTGCAGCTGCCAAGATGCCACTTGCCACCAGTTTGGCCATATTTCAGAGCTGCAACATCACTGGAGTGCCCAAAAGCACAAGGTGTGCAATACTCAGAGACATGGCCAAGGTAAGAAAGGCTGAAAGACGACCACCACTGAACAAGACACACAAGCTGAAACGTCAAGACTGGGCCAAGAAATATCTCAAGACTGGTTTTTCTAAGGTTTTATGGACTGATGAAATGAGAGTGAGTCTTGATGGGCCAGATGGATGGGCCCGTGGCTGGATTGGTAAAGGGCAGAGAGCTCCAGTCTGACTCAGACGCCAGCAAGGTGGAGGTGGAGTACTGGTTTGGGCTGGTATCATCAAAGATGAGCTTGTGGGGCCTTTTCGGGTTGAGGATGGAGTCAAGCTCAACTCCCAGTCCTACTGCCAGTTTCTGGAAGACACCTTCTTCAAGCAGTGGTACAGGAAGAAGTCTGCATCCTTCAAGAAAAACATGATTTTCATGCAGGACAATGCTCCATCACACGCGTCCAAGTACTCCACAGCGTGGCTGGCAAGAAAGGGTATAAAAGAAGAAAAACTAATGACATGGCCTCCTTGTTCACCTGATCTGAACCCCATTGAGAACCTGTGGTCCATCATCAAATGTGAGATTTACAAGGAGGGAAAACAGTACACCTCTCTGAACAGTGTCTGGGAGGCTGTGGTTGCTGCTGCACGCAATGTTGATGGTGAACAGATCAAAACACTGACAGAATCCATGGATGGCAGGCTTTTGAGTGTCCTTGCAAAGAAAGGTGGCTGTATTGGTCGCTGATTTGTTTTTGTTTTGTTTTTGAATGTCAGAAATGTATATTTGTGAATGTGGAGATGTTATATTGGTTTCACTGGTAAAAATAAATAATTGAAATGGGTATATATTTGTTTTTTGTTAAGTTGCCTAATAATTATGCACAGTAATAGTCACCTGCACACACAGATATCCCCCTAAAATAGCTAAAACTAAAAACAAACTAAAAACTACTTCCAAAAACATTCAGCTTTGATATTAATGCGTTTTTTTGGGTTCATTGAGAACATGGTTGTTGTTCAGTAATAAAATTATTCCTCAAAAATACAACTTGCCTAATAATTCTGCACTCCCTGTACAGGTGAAAATATGTTCTAGCCATGCTCCTGGTTCCGTTTCCCTTTAACAAGATTAAAGATAACATACAGATACAGCCACTTAAAATGGCCTCCTCATCCCTGACAGATGTAGCTTTCTGGTCAGAAAATTGAAGCCTTAAACCTGCATTCTGTTTAAAGACTGCTAGGGGATGTTAGACTATCCATAGTATGCTCATTTGCTAATGATTTTTGTAACAGACAAGTTATTAGCCAGTGAACATACGGCTTCATAGTCACATTAACATCAAGAAAACGCAGGGAAATATGCAGATTTTTCTTCATTTCAAGGCTTGGTAATGGGATTTCACAAATGTATGTGCAACATCACAGTAGCTACAGACATCTTTTATGCCAGCTTTTGAAAATCTGACTCAATATTGAGCTATTCTTATGTTCCACTAAAAATATGATGTTGTAGAACTTCCCAAACATGCTGATCTTTGGGTATTTTCCATTTCTTCCATTTAGCTTCTCACTCTCACTCACTGAACTTGAAATCATTATAGCCAATGAATGCCCTCAATGGGCTAATTAAAATGTCTGAAGCTATACTTTTGGTGTTTTGGTTTCATGTTCTTTCTATCCGACTGTATCATGTTATGGTGTAGCTAGTTCTCTCTCTGACAAAAGAGAACAAAAAAGGCAAAAAATAAATAAATAAATCAAACTGACAGCAGATATGTCTCCAAATATTTTCCACTTATTGACACAAGTGATATTACTTTTTAGGAGTAAAGGAAATGAGCAAAGAGCATAAAGATCTAATTACATCAGTGTAAGGAATACAGCATGTTTGTCTGCAGATGAGAACTTTAAAGATTGCATGGTGAACTTCAGAGGGAAGGTTGTCTCTTTTTAAACTTGGAAATTGTTGCAGTTTTTAAGAAGACATAGAAAAGAAAATCTTAACATGAAAGCTGTGTCCACATTGGAAACTATTCGCAGCAACATGGGGACCAAAGGCCAAAGAAACTAAATGATATTTGACAACACCAGTGTTGGGACTAACGCGTTATTAAGTAACGCGTTACAGTAACTACGTTATTATTGTGGTAACGAGCACGGTAACTAGTTATTATGCCAAAACCAGGAACGTGTTACTCGTTACTGGGATTTAAATAGGCTCATTATTCGTTACTTCGTGTGGTGGCTATCGCGGAGCTTCCACAGATTCAATAACATTAGCAAGTGGTTGAAGCCAGCAGGTGGATGAAGGAAAAGGGAGGCAAGAGGAGAGACCCGAAGCGGCCGCTGGTCTGAGAGTGTCAGGTGAACTGAACTTCAGGTAAGAAGTTATGACCTGCAGTGTATCTGGGTCAGATATAAACCAAGTTTAGGTGGAGTTTATTTTCGTTGTGCTGACTTTTCCGTACTGCGTGCTAGCTAGCATGACAGAGTTTCTATACAGCTGGGTGGGTGCTATGTTACTGATGTTGAACTTTATTTTGTTCATACGGTTAATTATTAGAGTTGCCAACTGTCCCATAAAAAACAGAATCGTCTGGTATTCAGAGAAAATATTACGGGTTTCGTATTGAGGTGAAAAGGTACAGTTTGTCCCGGACTTCAGCTACAATGAAAAAGACACAAAGCTGGAGTTACTCTGTGTCTTTGCTGCACAGCTGCCTCTTCTTCTCTCATCCTCTCCCCCTCCCTCTCCTGTTTCTACTTCAATCATGAAACTGATCAATGATCAGCTGATCGTCTCTCTTGTTTGTTTATCGCCCACTTTGCGCCAGAAAGAGGAAACCAGCAGATGTCGCGCTAAACAACAGCAGCACGTTTAAGCTTGATCAGCTGTTGTTAGAATTTATTTAATATTAATTTCTAGTATCAGCTGATGTTTGCTGGAGCCACAGCTGTAAACCTGCTGGTCATGATGTCGGTTTGGATATGTGGTGAGAGGGAAACATGAAGATGAAACCAGGAGATGTCCTTACTGAATCATCAGAGCTGTAATGGAGAAACAGGTTTACCTTTTAGGTGACATGAATGAGTTGAAGGGAAGTTATGAACTGTTTCTGAGAGACAAATAACACCAGGATCCTTTTCTAAGTAGCTGACAGCTGGTAACTGTGCAGGGGCGGGTCTAGCAAAGTGTTGCCAGGGGTCCATGTAGGGCATTAACGGGGAAAGGGGGGCATAAGGAAATACTTTCTTATTCTCATTTAAAATGTCTCACTTTAAAAACAAATAATTATCTGAGTCTAACAACAAACAATTGGTAGATTGATACATATATACCATCAGAACAGTGCACATCACTGTCACAACAGTGTTTATTTTCATTCAAAGGCTTTATGATTTTTCCTATAATGGTCAAATTCCCCGGGACGATGTTGCACTTTGTTGTGCTGTTGGCTTTAAGGAGAGCTTACACTCTTAACAAACCTATTAGAATGCTGAATTTATAAAAGAAAAAAAGATGATGTGTGGTTATTTTCTTACCTCGAGTTCAATGATATTGCACTAAAAGACAAAAAATCAAATAGGACAAAAGTAAGAAAATTGATTGAGAAAATGGTGCTCTTATACAGTGTCCTACCAATTTCTCTATCCAACTAAAGGGTTGGTAGAAGTTCAAAAATATTCAACACAAAACACAATTTAACATAAACATGACTTCTTATCAGTATTGGGTGGGGGGGGTAGGTTACGATATTTTGTCTACGCCAAGGTTATTGCTAAAATGTTTGCTTGAGTTATTACAGAATAAGTAAAAAACTCATTACTAAACACAGACTATACATTGTACTATTGATTTGTTAGTGCAAATTGACTGATAAACTCAACAGAGTGATAAAGGTCAAGGAGGAAAGGACAGACAGAAACACTCACCAGCTGACTGACAGGTCTAAACTTGGAGTCCAGCGCAACAACCCTGAAATGAACTGTGGAAGAAGTTCAAAGATTTTAAACCTTAATAAGTAATAAATCCTGACCAAGAACTGAAACTGACGCATTCTCCAACATCATTATTGCCAAATAAGTAGCAGTACTAACATAATTTTCTCTTTGCTTCTATTTGTAAAAAGCTTAAATTATATTAAATGTGTATATATTTTATATTGTTCATCCTCATATCCTTTGTAGAGGAAAAGCGTGAAATGGACATGGTGGACTGCCATGTCTATACATGCCTTGTTGTGATATCAGGTTGCAGCAAAAGACTTTCATAAAAATTTTTTTATGAATTTAAAAAAAAATAACAACAGGTGAAAATCGATCTTCTCCGAAGAAAGGTTTAAAGAAATCATGGCTGGCTTGAGACTTTGTAAAGTTCTCTTTCCTGACAACTCCCTTTGTGCATATTCTCTTACATATGATAAGTCAACATTGAAACATTGCGGCTTTTAGTCAGGTGCAGCTAATGTATGTACAAACCAGGATTTTCCCCTGATTTTAGCTTGTGCGGCAAATATTCAGGTGCGCTTTGTAGTCCGGGAAATACGTATATATATATACAGTATATATATATATATATATATATGCAGCATATACTTGTTCAGACTGAAGGTAGGAAGTGTTTAAAAAAAAGAAAGCAGAACAGCAAATGATTTTGTTTAAAAACCTAAATCTAAGTGAAGATGGGAAATTGATAATTACCAGTACCTGTCAGAGAATGACACATTTAAAATGTATTTCAAAAGTGTAGGTGACACAGAGACTGCTTGGATTGTGCAGCACTGCTGTATTTTTACATTTCGTTTATATCTATTTAATTTTTATGCTGAAATGAATAAATGAATGAATGTTTGCTGGGAATAGTTTGGTGAGCTGCACAAATGTGGCCAGATTACATTTACATTTACCATTTTTCAGCATGAAATGCTACTAAAATAATTGGAAATTATAGAAATAAAAGTTTTTGTTTTTGAGGGAAAGGGACGTGTTCATATTGGAAGTTAAATACACACAGGAAAAAGAGGGGGGGGGGGGGTCTCCCAGCAGCTGGGAATTGTCTCAGAGCAGAAATACTGAGAGGCTGAATCTGTAACAGAACAAATCCATCTAGCTCTGATGGGTCATCAGCTCACTCTTACCTGTTTGTCCAGGGAGGTAGAGGGGTTTATCCGTCTGGATGAATGTCCTGGCCTTGTAGGCTTTGATCATGACTTTTCTCACTTCTTTTGAGTGAAATGTGTCTCCTCTTACCTCCACCTCAAAATCCAGAATCTTTTCTCCTTCCACTAAAGGAGCCTTTAAGAGAAGTGTTTTAGAGGATGAGACACATTAATAAATAAGAATAAATAAATAATTGTGTGTTATGTTTAAAATACTTGACTGTATTCACCTGCAGTCTTTTTTAAAATTAGAAATTACCAAGTGAATCAAAACCCATCTTGGGGAGCTCACCTTAAACTGAGTACAAGTATGAAAATCTTCATTGGATGTATGTGTGAGCAGGGTTGTATTCTCCTCTCTGGACATCAAAGTGACAGTCATGACCACAGTCTCACTGGGCTGCAGAAGACTTGCACAAAATTTGGTCTCAGCTCCAGCTTCTATAACTGCAGGAATGGCCACCAGGTACTGCCTGCAGACACAGACAGATGAACGCTTAAAGCACTGACAAAGAAGGAAACCCCAAACCAGTACTCGTGCAAACTTTAACTACAACTTTGTGACTTTGTTACACACAAAGTCACAAAGCAAACAAATTCTATTTTTCTTTATAAAGAACACTTAAACTTACGGTTCAGCCACCGCTTGATCCACACACATCCAGCTCAGGAGGACACTCAGTGTCCATGTCAGAATTCTTGAACAGCCCATGACTCACTGCAAAGATTTTCAGAGTCAGCGTCTGTTAAATAGACACCCCCTCAACCCGCATGCCCCTCCCACTTAGCACAGATACCAACACCCATGACCAGCCCCTTCTGTTTGGTCTCCAGATATCTTAAAAGCACAAAAAGTTGGTCATGCAAAAATTCTACAGGTCAAAAAATTCAAACAATTTTAAGATACTTGTTTAGTATTTGATGCTGTCTTCAAAATTAAACATTAAAAGCTAGTAGCAAGTATTGAAAAGTTTTCAATTCCCAAATGTGTCCATGTACTTAATCAAAAGCAGATATTCTATTGTTTTATCCTTTAACTTTTGTCAATAATGGAAAGAAAGAATTGTTTTCTGTACCTGTTGATATTTTCCAAAATCTGTGGAGGGAACATACTTACAGTAAGTGTTGCAACAGTGCCCTTTAACCAGGGTGAAATGCTTTTTTGCTTAGTTTGTTAAATCAATAGTGTAGACATACCATCCTCAAACATAACACATGGATCAGAACAGTAAAAATATGTTGTACATAAATTCAGTTGCTGGAAGTCACAATGTCATCAGTGACCGCATTCCTAGCATTTCTAGTAGATTCTAGTAGATTCATAGTGGCAGTGACATCCAAGCTACCCAACATCCAAACTTCAGAACTAAAATGCTTCTTGAATATGTTAAAAAAAAAAAGTACATTGCCCTTTGGATAAGCTACAATAATATCTTCAATATATACAATAAGTTGTAGTAATAGGTGCAAAGTTAAAAAAAAAACCGTTTTTGAAAACTTAAAAGAGATTCAATATAAGATACCACAAAGACTCCACAAATCTACTGAGGCTTCAGGAAGAATAACTGTTTACATAAAGAGAAAAATATAGCCTCAAAATATGCATTAAATCAGCTCCTGTGCAAATGCTCACAGAAGACATTTTGAATTTAGAGGGAACATAAGATAACATAGCTTAAAGATAGCATTTGAAATGTTTTCAATGAAAATATGTTACAGAAAAGCCAGATATTGCTTCACACCAATAGTACACCCTGTACTACCAATTCTGGCATTTTGAATTAAGCTATAAGATACACATGTGATTTTAAGAGGCTTTTATCTTGAAGTACAAAATCAGACTTGATATAGAGTAACACCATGAAGATGTTGACTGAGAATGAAACACTAATCCCTGGTCGATTGTTGCAAATAATGGAGAAACTGTCATAATTCTTTTTTAAAGATCATCCAAAACACTGTTAAAATTTAGAGGGGTTTATTCACAGGTTTAGCCAAGTGAAAAAAAGCAGTTAACAGAGCTGGTGTTTCTTGCTTTGAGTTCCAGTAGTGGATTATCAGGTACTGCAGACATCCCAGGGCATGCACACACACATGAATAGAGCATATAGGTTCAGGTTTCACAGAGAGATTTGCTCAGAAACAGGCATTAATCCAGGACATCCAACACAGAGAATCCAGACAAAATGGAGGCCGAGAGCGTACCTAGCTGAAGAAATGATCTAACAAGAACTGAATGGTTGTTCCAGTCTCAAATAGTCAACTCGATCAGTAATGAGTCAGCACAGCTGATTGCTGACAGGCGAGTGTCCACAGGAAGGTGGAGAGACTGGAGGAGCCACACCAGAAGGAGAGAGGTAACCCCCCAACACCATACACACACTGACAAAGAGAGAAAGTAAGCGAGAGCAAGGAAAAAAACAGCAGAGAGCAAGATAGAAAAAAGGTAGGCTAGCATGAGTGTTTGGGGGACCCGACAGGGACACAGTGACTGGAGTGGAGGGAGAGACAGCAGTGACAGCCTAGCAACCAGAGTCAACCAGAGGGCAGGCATGATTACTGCAGCTTCAATTCATCACTCCACAAGATGTGCTGTCACTAGAGATGTGCAAAGCAGAAGGTACTTGTATCGGTATTTGTATTTGTTGAGGGGAGAAACGTATTTGTATTTGTATTCGAGTAAAATTCAAAATACGCATAAAAATCCAGTTGTTTGCGTTACACTTCTAATTAACATTATAGTGTAAGTATTCTTTAATTATATTCATTATAATAATTATGGATATGCAGTATTAATTGATGTTTTTCTATAAATCCAGCAATGAACATGCAATGTCATTGAAAAGAAAATAACGTAACAGCCATTGCCTCATCCATGGTTAAACTAACAACTAATAAAATACCACTGTGAACATCATGAACCCCACCACCACCCATCCAAGGACGCTGAACAGACAGCGAAACTGACTTGCAGGGGCAGAACATGACTGTGAGGATGAATTGGTGCTTGTGGGGGGATTGGCAGACAGTACCAGGAGAGGATGCTTTAAGTGCATGTGATTATGCATAGCAGATGTTGCCAGATGTTTAATATATCTGCATCTGCTCATCTGACTTTTGCACACAGTACATATCACTAAGTTACGACCTCAACAGTTCTCCAGAGGTGTGGTAATGAACTAATCGATTGATCTGGGAGTGTTGACCCAGGGTGACATCTAAAACCTGCAGGACACCAGCCCTAGAGGCCTGGAGTTCCCCAACCCTGTTGTAGATGGTTCTCTTGGTGTTGTCATAGCAATATCGTCAAGCTTGACAATAGCTGCATTTTGGTCCCCATACAATTTTAAAATTTTCACCTTGAGTTGATTTACTGGAACAAGGTTGAGACAACTTTTCCCTGTTGCCATCAACATTGCTGGCCAAAACACAAAACCAAGCAATTCCAGAAATCTACAAGTCAGACCACTGAAACGCCTCCCATGGGGTTAGGATGTGATTGCTGTTTGCTGCATACTGGTTCTGGCTACAGTCATTGATTTAATTCCATCATAGATGTTTTTGCTATGTGTGGAAAATAGTTTCAAAACCTATAGAAAAACAGCTAGACTTATCAAAAGGAGAGTGAGACAATATGCATGATCTGATATCGTCGTGTTGGTGTTGTTCCCACACATAGCTGGACTGGCCATCCGGCATACCGGGCATTTAGGTATGATGCTAGGTTGGCTAGCATCCTACCTGGTCTTTCACTATGCATATAAAACACTCTGATTCTTCAAAAGCTGATGTTCAACTATGTCAAAAGGAGGTCTAATTTAGGCTGGAATTCTACCTGTTTTTTATATAATTCAATTTTTTTAATCCTTGGATTACATACTATTAATTTATTAATTGGATTATGTTTTTATTTTTTGTATTTATCTAAAAAGTGATTTTTGCCCCCACAGAAAGACTTTGAATGTATCCCAAATTACCAGGCAACAGGTTTTTTTAAATTCTGGTTTGAGAATAGACTAATTTCTGGAAAGCTTGCTGGGCATAGGTTCGACTACCTCCCTGAACAATAACTAAGTGAATGCTGCTCTCTCTCAGAATCCAAGAACATGTTGTAAAATGTTTATTCTTTTCTTTTCATTTTTTTCCACAATACTTGCAATCTTGTCGTTTCTTCTGGGTGTGTTACAAGTGTGTGTGCATATGTTCTCTGGTTAAATTTAAATTTAATAAAAAATATCTCTGAGGAAAAAAAGAGTCTGAACTGTCAACTTTTGTCCTCTTCTTTATGTGACATTTAAAACTGCTGATAATGGGTTTTAAAGAAGCTCTTACACTCAGCTCCTATCAGTGTCACACTGTGTTTCTATTTGCTTTAGTCGTGTTTGGTCTTGATAATCTGTCTTTACGGGAAAAAGATTTGTTTTTCCTTTTGGGGGAAGGGAAGGGGTGCTCTTTTGAGGCATGTTTAAACATAATACCGTCCAAAGGTTTATAGATTATGGGAAAAAAATTTTTTTTAAATCTGTTTTTTAGCATCTGATATTTTCTGACAAGAAATCAGAGACTTTTTTTTTTTTATCAGTGAGCTCAACTGATGCCCCTGAGAGTATCTCTAAATGAACAGTACAACAAACGGTGAAGCTGATAGGCTACAGCACCATAATAAATATAATCCTTAAAACCAATATGTCCACAGTGTTCAGCAGGGGTTAATCTGTGTGGTGTTTCTTGCTGTAGTTTCCAACTGTGAACTCCCATCAACTTATTTCTTCTGCACACAGATTTTATACTTATTCCTCCTTTCTCCCCCCTATCAATTGATGTGAGCCACACCCTGTTATCCTCTCTCTGTGACATTTCACCCATATTAACCAAAGCAGACGTAAAAGCAGTAAAACCAGTTGTTACATTTTTCATCCATCATTAGGCTATGGATTTACAATAGGGGGAATTAGATATACCATATGTCAAAAAACGATTTATGGCCCCTCTTTATGACAGGGGAAGTAATAAAGGCAGTAAGAAAAATTTATAACAGTCATAGTCTTTATGATATGTCATAAAGTATTAATAATTCATTAGTGATAATTGTGATAACGAGTGATAATTTATACTCACATGATTAAAATATGATGATGAATAATATGTTCAAAAGATGTATTATAAATTTAATATATGGAACAAAAATTATATTAGTGTTTTGTTGTCACTTTAAGCAAAGAAGATTTCTTTTTAGACAAAAAAAAGTTACTTAGATATCTATTTTTGTTGGGGCTGTGCGCTTGTGTGTATGTGTGTATTGTTACGTTTATTTATCCAAAACAATGGTTTTATTGTGCATCCTATGTTTTTAAGTAAAGCATAGGAGTGTTATACACATGTCAGGTTACAACAGTTAGGGGAGTTGAAATCTATTTTAAGAAGATATACCAAAGATCACAGGATGGAAAAATATTCAAATGAGTTCTTCTTGTTTTATTGGAACAGTAAAGTACCACAACAAAGAATAAGTCCACCTATAAAAGAAAAATTATCATTGCTGACTGGGAGTTGTCTTCTTTTACGTGCAGACTCGGGTCAGGGCTGATAGTTTACTTGTGATATTTTCTTATTTAAACATTTGTGACTTAGAACCTTAAAGTTTAAAACCACAACCAGCCAATCAGCCAATCAGCCATTTGTGCTTATCACTATATGTGACTCATTTCTATGCAATAACCAAAGTACACAAATACAATATAAAACATTTCAGTTATAAAAGATACATTGTATATATGTGTAATCATGTATGCATGCAAAGTTCCTGTTACAAAATTACACAGTGTAAGAAAAATAAAATGTATTAGGATGTTGTGCTTTTTTAAAAATCTGTTTTTCTGAAAATGAAAATCGCACCTTTTCTTTTTTCACAGTGCCTGTATGCCTCTTCCAAAACTTTGTGCTATTCACCCCCAGATGCATGATTATCTGAGGCATGTGATCAGATGGCCACCTTCTTGTAATTCATAATGGTTTGTGCTCGCTGCTTTGCTTGGGCGTGCTGGATCAGATCCAGATGTAGAGTCAGTGCGGCAATAATGGCTCTTTGTAGTTCATAAAAAAATTTCTCAAAACGCGATGTTTCAAATGTAACAAACAGCTGAATGCGGTGTGAACGCAAGGGGACCAGCAACACTGCTGATATAAAGTGATGATGGTCGGTAAAGCAACTGGTCAGGACGTGTTTTGGTGAGTCTGCAAAGCTGCCTTGGTTGATTTCAAAAAATTTGGCTGTAAATTTGGTTTTGATTCTCATTGGCCAAAGAGAGGGCCACCTCTCCCTGTAATTACTCTATTAAGGGAGGAGCTCCAGATGCAGCCATGGAATAGACTAGAGATTCCAGTAGATGAAAGTCAGGCAGGTGAAATCTTACGGTCTTGCTCTGAGCTCTCGCTTGAGGGGGATCCTAGCACCAGCAGCTAAATACTTCATAGATCATAAGTTTCCTAATTGGTAGAAAAGGGTAGAACCACCTCTCTTTAAGGTTCAGGAGGAGCTCCAGATGGCGTCCCAGGTAGCATCTCAAACCCTGAATCTTGGATCTTCTCAGGTACAGAGCTGCAGGGCTGTGAACATCCACGTCTCTCTCTCTCTCTCTCTCTCTCTCTCTCGCTCTCTGTGGCCTCACTCTGACTGTGATTTTCTTTTTTCAGATTAAATGAATACAAATAAACTTAATTACAGACTTCCAATGGGACATACAGCCAATTCAGAATAACCTATTTTTCGTTTCACACTTTCATGCAACTTTTTTGCATGCAAAAACACACTATTGTGAATTATTGTCACATATTCAATTTTTATACATGTTTTGAACATATTTATCCTCATATTTCATCATATAATTATGAATTATTACTCAGTTATGAATTATTACATACATAAATTACTCAAATGACATAATTTCCAAAATAAAGCATTCAGACTGATTCTATTAAACATTTATGACATGTCATAAATCATTTGACTGGGGCCATACATCTCTTTTTGACACATTGTATAGCTAATCCTTCATTGGATTTGACATTTCACACAGGACACCTCATGCAGCAGATTAGCACCTTTAAGGCAAGGCAAGGCAAGTTTATTTGTATAGCACAATTCAACAACAAGGTGATTCAAAGTGCTTTACAGAGACATTAGAAACAAGAACAAATAAAAAGCATGATTTAAAATTGATTAAAACAAGCAAATAAACCAACTAACTAATTAACAAACAAACAAACAAACAAACAAAACAGTATATAAAATCAAAACAGATAAAATCAGAACAGTAGATAAAATCAGTAGTTAAATGTAAGTTTTGAAATTTAAGCTTAAAAGTGTGGATTTGGTGCTTTATTCAAATGCAGCTGAGAACAGGTGAGTCTTCAACCTGGATTTAAATAAACTGAGTGTTTCAGCTGATCTGAGGCTTTCTGGGAGTTTGTTTAAAATCCTTAAAATGAGCTACAGCCCAGAAAACCTTGGATTTCTATTTATCTGTGTACACAGAACCAGGGCTGGACTGGAACGCAAAAAAAGTTAAAACATATGCACATATTGGTGAAAATTCCTTAAAGCAGTAGTAAAGATAAATAGTACATAAAAAAAGATAAATAGAGTCATTTGTCACATAATCACATTTTCTGTTTAAAAGCTGCATTACTTGGAATAATTTCACAAAATAGAGATTCTCACCTTACAAAGTAATTTCTTCAGTGAGATACTCTTCTCTGCAACTCTGTCCGTGCTGCCATTATCAAAAGCCACAAGTATGTCCTTTAGCCATCAACATACAGATGCGTTCAAGATGTTATGATCTGTAGTGAGAGTATGGAGCAGGTGGAAGTTTACACTGGAGAGAAGAGGAATGAAAGTGAATAGAAGCGAGACAGAATATATCTGTGTGTGAATGAGAGGCAGGTTGGTGGAAGAGGAGGGATAGTGGATTCAATGGACAAAGGATGTTGAACATGGAGATGTTAGACAGACGGAAAAAAGAAAGACCAGAGAAGATTCATGGATGTAGTGAATGAAGACATGTGGAGGGTTAGTGTGACAAAATAGGATGGTAGAGTCAGGTTGAGATGGATAATATTTTTATACAGAAGAACTATTTGTAGATGAAAACAAAACATATGGAGGCATATTTGTGTTTAAAAAGCATCTTTATTAAAATGCAAGTTGTATAACTTGAGTGACAACCTCAGGACTGACTGCACATCTTTAAGCTGCAAACAAAGAATAAAACATGAGGATGCAATTGTGTTAAAATAATCAGTCAGGCCTAAAAAAGTACTGATTTAACTGTATTGTCAAATACTGTATTGTGTTGAGATTGACCAAATATTTTAAAAATAACTTCAATTTAATTTTGTGTGAAATGTGGTGTTCTCGCTATAACAGTTTGTTACCTGCAGCTGATGGGTAAATGTATTCAGTCTCAGCCTGGTCACCTGAGAGAGAAAACAAAGTGGAAAAATGTGACTTGCTGTGTTTTTATAACACGTTTAAATTTGATCCTTCAAATTCTGTTAACTGCTGTTTGTTGTACAGCTTCACTAAGGAGCAACGTGTGTCAGTGTGCTGTTGCAGTGAAGTGAGTTAGAGTTGTACTTGGCTGGTAGTAGTCATAGATTTTGATCATGGCTGGTTTCAGGTTCTCCACTCGAAGTTCTTCTATGACTGTCAAGCTGTAGTTCATGGGCATGTCCTTTGGCAACTGAAAAAACAGGAGACACACTCTGTAACAATACAGACATCATCATCTGGTATCCCCACTGTGATTATCTCTCACCTCCTGTAAATACACCAGAACATGATCTTCTGTTTGTTCAACACGATCCACCAATGGTGCACCTTCGAGCTGTGAGGAGACAACAGTCTCCTTATTATTATTTTATCTCATCATAAACTGACACATGGTAGCAACATTTCTATTCAGCTAACAACTGCAACAACCCACCATCTTTAAAGACACTGCATTTGGGACAAATCCAGAGAGCATTTTGATATCCAGGATCACCATGTTGGTAGTATTCTCCTTTCCACTGTACCTGTGTTTGAACAGTTAAAAAGTGATTGCACTGATGTGTATCCATAGATGCCACATTTCCAACACTTATCGCACAGTGGTAAATAAAATTCCCCTAGCACATATCTAATCTGTTAAATACTTACAGGGATTTTATTGTCAGAGTGAGCTTGCGTCTGGATTCACTTGTTGCATCAACCTCTGATTTGACCTCCACGCTGAGAGTAGTGACATCAGTGGGACTCGGGATGTTGTAGTGAACAGAAATCTGCGAAATAGTCAACCAAAAGAGGTTTGCAGTTTATAATAATAGTAATAAGAAGAAGAATAGAAATCTGTTTATGTTTTTATGTTTATGTTTTGCATTTATGTTCAAAATATAGTGGCGTCACATTTTAGGGGACTGATTACAGTTATGAAATTATTTTGGTGGTTGTGGCCAGAATATTATGTACACTAATTGTGGGCAGAAATGTCATGTTGATTTGGAGCTTCTTTCATCAAAATATTTAAAAATGAGATAAAGGCTTGGACGTGAGGAGGGATTTGGAAATAGAACTGCTGGTTATTTACTTAAAATATGCCAGCTAAGATGGTGCAGGCATGTTTGCAGGATGCCTTTATGACCCTACCCTCTGGAGATTTTCCAGGCAAATCCAACTGCGAGGATACACACAGTGTAGCTACACCTTCCTGGAGATATTATACATGTCATCTGGCCTTAGTGAAATCCATGATGAAGAACAACGACAACAACAACAAGAAAAAAAATGCATAGGAGGAAAAGGAATGTTTGAAATCATTTCCTTAGTGGGAAGCCACTGCATCCTGAATTTGGATAATTTGAGCAAATACACAGATGGATAAGCAAATGTGCTTTTCTGAGTGAAATCACATTTTTTCATTATACTTCTGTATTTGGAAAAAGGAACAAGCAGGATACTGTCACTGACCTGCACTGACACACATGCAGTGCCCTTCACCTCCAGGCTGTATCTTCCTGACACGCCCTGCATCGTCTCCTCC